TATTTAATAAATATCTGAAAAAAACAGTAACACAACAATATTTCAAAATTTGTCATGTTTGGGGTATAATTTACCTACCGCGGAACGCGCGCAGGGTGAATGTAGGCGTACTCACTCGGTGGCGGGGGCGGGTGCGGGGGCGGGGGCGGGCAGCAGGGGCGCGCCCAGCTGGAGCAGGCGGCAGGCCAGCAGCGCCGCCACGTCCCCCTGCGACGCCCTCGACGAGTCCTCGCGCCGCCACCAGTCCGCAGCGCCCGGCCACGACCTCCCGCCGCAGCCATCCGCCTCGCCTGCGCACGCACGCACACCTAGTGAGGGAAATTTGAACAAAACAGCGATACGACGCCAAAAAGTTTTCGATGTAGATCGACAAAAAACACCCACGCATAAAATAGCAATGTTTTAAATGTGATGAAACATTTTGAAACAAAAATGTCCTGGTTCCAATGTGATACATAACATGTTAATATTAATTTGAAGTATTTTCTCCCTTAAATCGGACTGCCATCTTAATTTTCTAATCAATGTTCTAAGTTATTGAGCTTCAAATTACCGTTTAACAATATTATCACGCACAAAATAATAAAAAAAGTTAACAATAGTGGAGAAAGTTTGGTAAAAGCAAACGGGATTTTTCCGCCTGGGCACACAATAGTGACAGTTGCCAATGGCTGTCGATTGCGAACAATTCACAAATAAAATGGATATTGAAAATCTTATTAATATCATGAGAATTGTTTTTAAAACATGGATGTTTCTTCACAAATACAGTAAAATCTGTCTAAGCCGGAATCGATCGGGACTCAAAAACAACCCCGTTTAGGGAGGTTTCCGTTTTATGCAAGGTTTTCCATTTTTCACATTTAACATATAATGTATTTATGAAATAAATCACCAATAAATGAATATTAAACACTCTTCATTGACAGCTTCTGAGTTGAAAATTACACACTTTACTGACTGCATTTGGACTGCTTGCTGACTCTTTCAACGTACAATCCGTCACATCCCAGTACTCTTACTTTCGGATGATCTTGCATGGCTTAACTTTTCGGGCCGGAAAAGTTTTTCGGTTAAGGTAGGTTTCCGGCTTGTTCAGGTTCTGGGTTAGACAGATTTTACTGTATATCGATCTGAAGGAATCTTCGAAAGCAAATAATCGATGTTTCTGCTTGAAAATATCAATGTTTTTGCCATCCTTACACACAGAGGTCACAGCGGCGCCGGCGCTCCGCTCGTACACTTGTCGGACATCTTCGGCCCCTCGGGCATTCTCAACATTTGTGTGTGCGTTTTCAATCTTCGCACGTTTTCCCGACCTCTGTGTTTCCCAGATGCGATATACAGTTCTATTGGCAATGCAAATAGTCTTCTTACAAGGAAGGGAACTGATCAAGTAATCCCAAAAACACCTCGTTGCTACCTTTATGTTGTTGCCTTAATTATTCAATTCTGCAAGTATAGTAAAAGAAAGAGAGACGTATTCCGGAAGTCAACAAACCTTTTGTAGTTTCAACGTTTCCCCTACACAGTCCTTTACTATTTTTTACCTTAATTAATAAACAAACAAGTCAATAAAAATGTATATTCATAAAAAATGTAATTAATTGGCACGAATTGAACATTGTCTTATCTCTTATTGCACTCAACGAACGAATCTACTTTGTACGCTCAAAGATCAGAGAACGACAGGAAAGAGCGGCTAGCTCAGAGCACAAAGTCTTTTTGTATAAAATACATTTGAAATTCAGTGCTGAACAGAATGAAGTGGTTTCTTGTGAATAGTCGAAGGGTAAAGCTTAGTCGCCAAGTTGGACATGCGTAGTGAAGCGCCAACTGAGTATAAATGTAGTAGAAGCAATTTTGTTTTCTCTATGTAATGAGAGAATTCCTCTACGTTGGGCATGATTAGGGATTAGCTCTGAACTATGATGATGTGATGGATGTGAATTGAATGGGGGTGAATTGGACTAAATTGAAATTAGTTTTTGGTGACACGCAGGGCGTTTTTTGCCTTTATTTTCATTTTTTCGTAAACATACTATTTTCGAATGCTTATATCTAATTTATATATATTATAATATAATGCGTACCTATTTACTTTAGAGTTAAAACTCCTATTTCAGTTTGGCAATTGAAAGGAGTTTCCCCATATGGACTTTCCACACCAGGGCCCTGAGAAAGAAGCTATGCCTCTGGGTGAAATGCAAACTGAGGAAAGCGCTGATTTTGCCATTTCTTGCTTAGGTATCAATTGTGATTACATTACTTTTACATTTCTTTTATTCCTCTTCAGAAAGCCAATCCTTTCTTATGAAGCATATTACCCGCTGTTAGCTCTCCTTTTCTAATACATTGTTGTTGTTCTTTGTTTTCCTTGTCTTCTTACCGCCTTTTCACGGGGCGTGGGTCATTCAAGATAGTGCTCCAAAGCGTAAGACATTAAAGTTGTATTTATATCTCCACTATTGGGGCCGCAGTTTTTGATTGCTCTTGTGATCCCCTACGCGCCTCCATGGCCATCGAAAAGCAGCCAGAGCGCGCCAGCTGGCGCCCGCTGTGGAATTTCAAACTCAATTGTTTTGCCCCTTCAACTTCACACATTTGCCATTAATTACTGCTAAAAAAATATTCCTTCACGAAATGATTCTTTAGTCCATCTGAATCCAAAATACTTATATAAAAAACACTGTAGGTTAAGTCGAGATGTGAGGAAAATCTACTCATATTGCCCAGAAGCCAAATAGGGACCGGCTCGACATCGATCTTGGGAAACTGGACGAAAAATATCAATTGAAGTCGGTTAAGAGGGTCACTATTCGCAAAGTACAATAATTTCAACAATAATGATTTTAAAAACAATATCATGCCAGTAACATTTAAGGTTATACATGTTCAATAAATATTTTCAAGTGCGTTCAGCTTCTTTTGCTGAGTAGCTCAGTTGATTCCGGGAATTTTAAGTTCTTTATCTTTGTTGTTTACCTTAAGAAATCTGGCAAAATCCTTGAGATTATTTATAGATTGACAAAGGAAGAATATGTTAATTTTATAGTGAAAGTATGTTTATTGTGAGGACTTCTGGCCTAAACGCAGGGAATCAGTCGTTTGTTGACAATCTTTTGTAGTTGGAGTCGCGAATAATCCTGCGAGGTTGAAGCGAAATTAATCTGCTCTCATATCGATATTACGTCCGGAGAACAACCACAATGCTTTGTGACAAATGGTTGTAAATAAATTAATAGTAATGCAGAAAGAGCCGCAACTAACAAAATATTGATCTCACGCTCTTGCACTTCAACGGATGATGGATCAACGGATGATGTGCATTATTTAAAAAAAAAAAAAAAATACTGATTGAAATGTTACTGCCATTTGTGAAATTAAAATTTCAAATAAATAAATTTTTATTGGCTGAAATAGTTGTGTTATGTACATAGTTTCATTTTTTCTGAACGCGTAACTCTGCTAGTAAACCTACTTTCTGATCCGCGTTTCAAAATACATGTTTGTTTATTGTTCATTGTTTTCAATTCTTTTACGCAACTTCTTGGATATATTAATTTCTCTCAATGTTTTAAACTCAAAGTTCAATTTTATAACAATTAAAAATGTTCATAAGCGCAAACAGTTTCGAAGAAAGCTTAATTTTTTGCGTTAAACATTTGTGCGGGCTGCGTGACTTGTTTGATAAAGATACTGAATATGTTAATATGAGAATTGAATATTTATATTGTAACTAAATATATGAATGTATTGATATGAATTGATTATATCTATTCTGTTCTACTTATATTTTTAATCAATCAGTTGTTTTTTTATTCTTTGGAAATAGGTTCCTTATTTTTATCTTTCGTAGACGGGAAAGAATAGTTGACTTTTCTTATGCTTCCCCTGATTTTTCCTTTCAATTTCTTCGTGCAACTTCGTTGGAATTAATTTTATTCGTTCTACTTCCCGTACAACACTTAAATACTGAAATTTTGTCCATACAACAACTCAACTTTTCCTGGAATTTTCAATCTTGTGAGAATAAATTGTAGTTGATAGTTACCGATCCCCAACGGCATAAAATTGTAAGTACTGTAAGTAAGGTTAGAGTCAACAGGTAGTTACAACGGGCGCTTAACCCGTAGTGCAACATGGGGTGTAGCTGGTTCCGTGAGAGTGTCGTGTGGAGTGGAGTGGGGAGGGAGCGCTCACCTGGTCGTCGAGGCACGTACGCGCTCGAGTCTGAATTGGCGCGTGGCCGCGGCGCGGACGGCAGCTGCAATGCGCGGGTGGGGCCGCCGCGCCGCCCGCCCTCCTCCTCCGCTTCTTCGTCTTCTTGCGCGGCCCACATGCCCGTCCACGTCGACGACGGCGACAGCGTCCGTCTCGCCGTGTGACGCGAGTGGCGCGGTCACGAACACGCGGTTGTTCGCTCCGCTACTGCGCGGCACCGTGCCTCGTCTCGCCACGCCGCGTTGCGCCGCCCGCCGCGATTTGAATCCCGGCCAACCGACGGCCGCCGCGCCTCACTAGAGGGCCCGGACGGGCGCTAACCCGTCCGCAATGTTGCGTTGTCGTGAATCGCGAGCCAGGTGAATCGGGGCCCGGAGACGAGAATACGCGGTGACCCTCCTTTCCCTTCGTTGCGGTTCGTGTTTAATCTTGGCGCCCTCGTTCGGTCGGATTCGCAGCCTGTCGATTAATGTAGATCGGAGGATTTGGTGCGCTCTGCATTTCACGAACAAAACCCACATGTACTTAGAATATGCTGTTTAACTATCATTTAGTTAATTAATATATTTTAATAAGCTTGTTCGTTCTAATATGAATTTTCCTTCGTTGTTTACTGATAGCGAACTTATGATCACATATTGACAACGTCGTGCACTCTTGTGTCAACAGTACAAAGCTCCGTAAAAGTGCTGCTCTCTTCAGAGAGCACATACGCATCAACCAGGCATCAGGATATTAGGATACTTTTTACTCTTTGTCTCGATGCAAAGATTTTAGTGTAGTACAACGCTCTTTGCGTATACGACACATCTCTTTGGCCTAATAATATGCATTTCTTCTTTTCCGGATGTTTTGTTACTATTATTGTGATTCACGCGTAATATCACTTATTAATTAGTAGCTGTCACCATATTTTAAGATGTACGAAGTGGTCGTGACTTTATATATGGTGTGAGAAGTATTCGTGTGTATTTTTGTATTTAATTATTAGAAATAAGGTTACAATCATAATGGCGTATCGTGGCATCACGGATCCATTCACTCCTAAAACAACTCGGAATGAAAGGTTCGCTCAGATGTCGAGGCAGGAACAACTTATTGAACAAAAGAAAAGAGAAATTCAAGCCAAATTGGAAGAACAGAAGAAGAAAGAAGCCACGGAAGCACTGAAAAAGTTTCAGAGTGCTGGAACTACCAAGACCAGTCCTGGAAGTAAGGTTAACCCGCCATCCACTCAATCCAAAGGAGGAAGGAAATCTTTTTGGAAGAGGTAAATAGGATTTTTCAATAGTGAATTATTTTGTCTTGTTATTTCAAAATTGAATGCTCGGTTGTTTTTTTTTGTATTCAGTTCCTGTAATTCATGTTTGACGCCTGCAAAATTTGTTTCATTTTGTAGGGCACATATTGATATTTTAATTACACTATTAATATTTCAATATGTATCTGTTATTTATGTTGTTTTTTTTTCAAGTAATATTGATGTCAATGGTGTACAGTTGTGGAATGTCTACATTATCAATTTGTGATTATGTTAATAAACTAAGAGTATATTCATTATTATATTATACTTCACAAAAAATATGTTAATCCCTTTTGAACAGAATATCATTCCTTTATTATTACCATCATCATCATCATCATTGGTGTTTTGTTAATGATTGTTTTATTGCAGTGATCAAAGGTGGAAGAAAGAAACTTCATACACAGATGACTCCTCTTCAAAGTCAAATTCTGTTAATATTTTCAACAATGATGGCAGCTTTCTAGATCAATTCAGAAAACTTTCAGGGGTGAAAGGTATATTAAGAAAATGCAGAGATATATCTGAATTGATATATTATTCAATTATGATATTGCTTAATTTACTGTTACTCATTGACTCACAATTTTTATGACTATTTCAGATTCCAAAATCAAACGTGAAGAAGACACTCCTCATTCCTTAGGATTTGATTCCAGGCCATCAGGATCTTCAGAAGGTAGTAAAAGAGAATCAGGTATTTGTTTCCAAATTAACTTCAACAAAATACAGTGCTTTTCCTTGAACATAATGGAATATTCATTGGTATTTCATTTACTTTTGCTGACAATCTATAATATGGATAATTGATTTCATGACTTCTCTAACAATAGAAACTTATTGTTTGTGAAATTTTGTTAAAATAATTTGTGAACATCTTCAGAGACTATTAAGCTCTGCACAGTGAATAGAAAACAAATTGGTAGCTAATCATACAAATGTCTGCTAATAATTTGGCTTCTTTTTAAATTATTTATTCAGAAGTTAATGCCATGATTGCCAGTAAAATATCAAAACATGCGAAAACCATTGTATTTTCTGGAGTTTTTCTTGAAAATTTAAACTTTAAATACAAATTATTTCATTTAGATACGGACTGGGGAACATGGAACGCCACTGAGAACCAAACATCTGTTATGGAGAGAGAAAACCCCCTTACGGATCGTCGCAACAGTCATGGGGAGAGAGACCAGGATAAAGATGAACTGCTGCAAAACAGTGAACGTTTGGGAACTGCTCACTGGTTCCAGTCTCACACTCAGGAAGAAAGCAGCAATTGGCAGGGACAGAGCAATTCTCCCCCACCCTCCACAGTACCCAGGCCCTCATCTCCTTATTCACCAACTCGTGCTACCACAGACCCTCCTCAAACCCCAGAGAAACCGGCAATCCCCATCCTAAACCCTTTGCCACAATTTCAGCAGCCGCCTCTACACCCCACTGCCACATTGCCACCCCTCACTTCTGCACCTCCTCCAAATCTCCTGCAGAGGCCACCAGTACAACCTTTCATATCATACACTGCTCCCCCTCCTCCAATTCATGCTGTGCAACCTGCACAGTTGCCACCCCCCACAGTTCCTCCTCCAACCCTGGCTGGTGTCCAAGGAGCACCAGCGGTTGTGGCTCCTTCTTTGCCAGCATCTTTGAGTGTTCCTCCTCCAACACAGGTTTTGCAGCACGCGATACCACCCACAGCAGTACCACCTAGCAATCCTCCTACCCTAGCCCCACAAATCTTGCCACCCCCAGCTTTGTTACAACAGCCTCCCATAGGACCACCACCTATACTTCCACAAGGTCTGCCTCCACCCGGTACCTTACCACCTACTGTCCCTTCGTCTGTATTAGCCAATGCTGCACCTGTCATCCAGACTGCCATACCCCCTCCACCCATCCCAACTGCTGTGATGTCGGTTGCCCATGCCATTCCTCCACCCTGTGTTCCTCTCTCTGTCCCTGGAGCTGCGATGGCCGGCGTGACTGCGGCCCCTGGGACTGGAGGTAACTACCTACGCCGCTCATTTCCTTTTGCCTTACATGAGAGGGCCTGTGTTATGCTTCCATTAGTGTTGCAATGGCCCACCTCATGGCTTAGCAAGACTCTTGAAGGTGGAGCAGTTAGTATATTGGAAACAGAATGTTGACTGGAGTTTCCTAGTCTCTTCAGCAGCGCCACTGGCTCCTGATCCTGCAGAAGAAGAGGCGACTACTCACTTGGCGCGAATGGTGGCACAATGTGGAGATGATATCGAGGAGATCATCAAAGTGCGAAATCCTGATGACAAAAACTTGTGGTGAGTGTTTCATCATTATTGTGTAATGCAGAAGAGAGGTCGTTCTTGAGATACCAAACCTAAAATTGAATCTTAAGTGTTTTGTATTAATTATGTGTAATATATCTAGCTAGTGGGCTATTGTAAAGGAGGAAGGATCTAGTGAAATGTTGTAAGTACTTTGGGCAGTCCACGTTTTGCTGCGATGTCCCATTGAAGGTGTGTCAACTTGCAAGCTGCGGTTCTAGGTTTAAGAGCTGTATTTTTGTGTTAACCAAGATAATGTGGAAACAACCTTCTACATTGCTTTGCCAATCTGCTTGTACAATTTATTGGTGTAATGGAGTATCGCTCGTCTGGTTTTGGAAAGTTTTTCATTCATCGATTGTAGATGATTTAATTAAAGCATAAGTGAATTTGTTACTTTACACGTAGTTTGTAATGGCTCTGTACATGCACATAAGTCTTAAACTTACCTTTTAAAATCGTATTGCTTATATTCAAATGAGGTAAAGGTCTTATCAGATATGTTCAAAGTAATTCTGTTAATTACTGACCGTAGGTTAAAATTTGTTGTATTGCTTAATCTATTAGAAATTCAGTGATCAAATTCTGAAATGGTATAATGTTTTATTATTGACTTGCTTTGTAGATTGACACCCTACTGTAAACCCTTGTTCACACAACTTCAGTGGAACTAAAAAAATTTGTGTACAAAAATATATCTTGAGTCAATTAATAGTAAATTAACAATGCTTTAAAAGACAAATTTGTGAGTTCAAACTCCCAGTGAGTAACTTATTTAGAATTATGGTTGTTTTATTGAGATTCAAATCATTTGTTGTTATTCTTGAAAACTGGATAAACATGGATTATTAAAATTCCTGGGGATTTCAAAGTACATTTAAGGTATGAAATCAGATTTTGTATTGTTTTCTTTTCTTAAATTTTAACATTCCTCCTACTTAAAATGGTAAAAGTTTCTTTAGCTACATTTCCATTGCAGCTAAATTAATTAGTGTCAGTGGTAAAATATTTTGATTCTTCTAAACAAACTATTAGATTTAGTTTGCCATGTAAAATATGTGGTCATGGATTTGTTTGTGAAGGGTAATAAAATGAATTTATCAATGTTTCTCCACTGTCATCCTTTTTTTGTGTTGTGACAAATTTCATGTGATGTGTGAATGTGTTAACAAGGATTTACTCTATATGTACATGACAACAGGTGTACAGATTTTGTAGGATTTCCTAGATAGGTGTATGCTTGCAGAGTTATGTTTTATTTGCTTTATCTGTCTTTCATTATATGTTTTCTGATGAAAAAAATCTTCATACTTTCTATCCTATTTTTGCTTGATCAGTACTCTATGCTACTGCCTGTAATGACTGTTAATTCTACTTTTTCTTAATAACTATTTCATTTGCAATATCAAGGAGTATCTTTTAATTTATATTGTTTCTCTGTGTTATTTCTAAGGTTCCTGCATAGCAAAAATAGTACAGCATATATTCAGTACCGCTGTTTGGTGGATAAATTTCGTGCTGAAATGAAAAAGGACGAGAAAGAGAGTACTGATAGGAAAGAAGATATAAATAACAAAAATATCATTCAAGACCTACAATCTGATTGTAGAAATGATTCTAATATTAATGAATATGGGTCTGTGAAACAAGAAATTAAAAGTGAACCATCTGATGAATACTCTTACAAAAGAGATATAAAGAGAGAACATGTGGATGATGAAAATTCTCGTCACAGTGAAGGTATGGATAAAACCCCTAATGTCTAAAATGTTGCCATTTTCAATCTTCATCTCGTTGTAAAATGAAGTTGCTAATTTCATTTTATGAAAATTGTCATGTATGTACATTTTAATTTCAATTAAGAGGTTTGAGATAGGTTAAAAGTGCTTCTATATTGCCTTATTTTTTAAATTTCAAATACAGTGCATGGAAAAAGGATCTCCTGCTGAACTTACAAAAGATTGAGGGTGTTATTTTTTGTGCTTTTATTTCTTTAAGTTCCTTATTGGATAGTTTATCTTATGTTCACAGTTGCATGCCTTCATATTTTTTGATGTACTTATGTGATAAAACAGGCTTGAAGATTGGTAATGTGATATCTTGTTGTGTAAGTTGCATGTGTGAATTTAAAATAAGCATGTGGAATATGGTTCGTGTTAGTGCTTTTGATTACATTTCACATAGACTTATAGTGAAGTAAATTCTCAAGATTATCATTAGATAAAGAAGTACAAAAACTATCTGCTGTAAGGGATATTTCTATATGAAAATGAGTTGAAGTTTTATTAGCACACCTGTGTTGATGAATTCGTAAGCTTTATTACAGTATGTATGCTTTAAGATATAAAAAAACAAAAATCTCTACCTAGCGTGATCATTATCTTTGTCATTTCAAAGTTGTAGGCTTCTGACATTGTATTCATTGCTTTAATAACAAAATTGGAAATCATGTGCATGTTAATCTAGTCAAACATTGTCAGCTATAAGGTAGTGATAAAGGAACTTTTTGCTAAAATATGGGCAATTGTAATGTTCTCTTAATTAAATATAAAAACACCAAACCAGAACTCTCCCAGGAAGAAATGGAGATATTGTGATTTTATCCAATTATAAACTTCTAGTAGTTTGAGTAGTGGAAGTGAACAAATGTAAAAGATAAACAGCCAAACATAGTGAGCCATTTTTGCATTCGCACAGTTGGATAATAAAACAAATACTATTAAAACTAATGCATAAATATGATATATCATATTTCCCCCATTATGCCAAATTAAAAATTGCTAATGTATTACCAAAAGTGGTAATCATGATGGTTTCATTGCAAAGTAAGGAATGTGACAATATTACTTGTTTTGAACTTCGGAAGTGTTTTGTTTTGGAATTATCATTGCAGTTCAATTTTATGTACTGTCTGCTTGCAAAGTAAATAATAGACTGTTTTTTCTAAAGGTTTAATGTATTGCTTTCACGGAACTAATAAGTTCACAAACTTCTGAGGTACAATACTCCAAATGTTCATTGTGTAATCTGTTTATTTACTTATAAATACAGTTACTAAGATGGCAGTATTACTGATTACACCCTAATTGATGTACGTGTAAAAGTAGATTAACATATACTTCTGTTCCTGCATTATCTTGTGGATATTAAAATGTGGAATATATTTTCTGATGTTGTTTTCCTGTTTTGTTTCTTGGTGTTTTCTACCTAAAGGGCAGGTCTTTTTCCACAACTGATGTCTCTCAATTCCTCGCAGAGATGTCTGAGCATGTTTCCCATTGCTTTCTTTAAGAACACTGTATCCTGACAATTTAGACGTTTGAATCCACTGCTAGAAGGTGTAGGCCCTTTTCCCTTTCTTTCCTTACTATATGCATAGTAAAGAGAAAGTATCGTAATGCTCCGGAAGTTTGTCCACCATCCAATAGTCCTTCCGTCCATTAGGGATCAACGCCGCAGCCGAGCCTTAACTGTTCAGATAATTTTCTTCAAAATTGATCTCCCCTAATCAAACTTGGGCCCAGCAAGTTTGAACCAGATATTTTGATATGTGGGTGTGCTTTGTATGAAGCACGCAACATTTTCAAAATTTTCTCCAAAATAGTTCTATATGTTTGAATTAAATTGTGTCCCCTGATAGCATAGACGCCTACAAAAAAATGCAGGTCTCATTTTCATTGAAATCTCTGAATTTTGAAAAATCGCAAATGTTAACAAATTTTTTGATGTCTTCTTATTAAAGATAGAAATTTTTCATGATGAAATCCAGATTTAAGCCAGATCATGAAATAAAGTCATGTACATTTTTTTCAAAAATGTGGGGAGTTGTTTTTGCATAATTTTGAATGAAATGTAGACTATTATTTTCTCAAAAATGGTTTCACATTGTTTCTTAAGGTTTTTCCTTGTGTGTAGTGAAGGGTGGTTAAAAATATTGGTTGAGGTTTTACTTTTGGTGAACTCTGTATTTTCAAAATTGTAAAAATTAACGTTGTAAAAGTACAATATCCATGAGAGAGATTTCTTCTTAAATAAAATCTGTTTTAAAAAATTAGGTCTTTAAAAAAGGTTATGTACAAGTTTTTGAAAAAAAAAAAAAAAAATTTTTTTTCCCATAATACTTGCTCGAAATTTCTGCAATTTTGAAAGAAAAATTCCTGCAACAGAGAAAATAAGTTTTAATATTTAATTTAGGAGAACTGTTTTGAAAACTGTTTTAATCTTAAAAATTAATTCTGCCATCTTTTAGGAAAGAGGTCTGGTGATGACAGTGATGAGGGAGCTCTGAGGCGTCGAAAGAGGCGAAGTCGTTGGGCTCCTGAATCTGAAAAGGTGGAACTTGCTGCTCCAGCTATTGCATCTGTGGCGGTAGGAGGCAAACCTGCCCCAGGTATGAGGTGGAATATTTTAGGGTAGAAAAATTTGGTTGTACCGAAAACAAAAAAAATACATTTTGAATACATTTTGTGAGTATATTTATGTATTGGAAAAACAAATGTCATTGGCTTAGCAAAAGCTGTTAGTTTTCAATGTAAGAACCATGTATGAAAAAATAACTGAAATTAAAATGGGTTTAATTGAAACCTCACAAATGCCCTATTGGGAGTAAGTCCCTATTTAATGGGAGTAACTTAAATCTCACAAATGCTCTATTGCTCTTTTTAGACTTTTGGGAGGGGAGCCACTTTTAAGAAACTTAGGAGTAGAAATTACTTGATAGTAGATTTTCAACTGATTTGTAGTTCAGGTTTTGCCCACCATACCCCACAACATTGTACTGATCATAAAACATTAGTTATGTGACTCAAATAGTGTGCTACACAATTCAAAATAGGGCTAATTTTTTGTTAAAATCATAGAAATCAACACTTTTCAATTGGCCATAATTTTGGGAATTTTATCCAAAATACTTTTGATTCATATGATTTTTTGATTCATATGTGCTTTAGTACATAAACAAATTTACTTTCATTATCACTTTTCATTAGTAGTATTTATTTGTTCATTAATTTTACTCAAGGAAAAGTAAATCCAATAGTGTATTCATTTTTCTTTGTCAGAAATTACTGCATTCAGGTTATGTAAATAGTATTGTATACTCCTTTTTTAATCAGTCACTCTAAAACCTGCTCCCAGAGCAGATAACAATTTGGCTAAGTAAACTGACATTCCCTTATTACTATTCAAATAGACAGCTAAAATCATATTATCAGTAAAATCTATAGTTAGACTACTTTGTGTTAATATGGTATGCATGTGAAGAAAACCTATCCTGGAAGGGAAACAAACCTGTTTCTGTACTGCATGATAACGTTTCAGTACTGTATGCAAACAAAAAACTATAGGATAATGTACAGGTTGTCCGGGGAGGAAATGTTAAAAATTTGAAAATAAATTGCAAATAACTGAAGTCTAGATGTTGATGAAATACATGTTTTGGGGGTCCTGATACATTTTGGTAGTGGCGACTAGTGCCCCCGACAAACTGGAGGTTGCATCTCCATCGAATGATGGAAATGTTATTTCCAAAATTCAATCAAATTATTTATTTCAAAAATTTGACTACTTGGGTGTATTTTGCAATAATGAAAGATCTTCCACACACACTTGTATTCACAACACTCCCACTCCTGGCACCTGGAAGATTCACATTCGGTGAGAAACAGGGTCTTCCTTTCAGAGGGGTCAACTTGACACAAAGGACTCGTCAAATTTACATCTTGAAAAAAACCTTATAACCAACGAAAATAAATTCTTCAAACATGGTAAATAATGCAGCCAGTACCATCAATAATTGATTGAACTTGTGTACCTTCAATAACAAGTGAAATTCATAAAATAAAGTTGCAGCTAGTGTACAATGAAGACAGAAAAACATGCCGCACTCTGCGACTAGACTTGCCATTCTTTGTTGGCCATGCAAAAGCAACAAAGGCTATATGTTAAGGCATAGGGCCAAAGTGTAAATGCAGTAAACACAGTAATAGGGCTAAGAGTGTGACATGGTGCACTACCTGAGAGAGTCCCAGACACTGGAGAGAGCAGCTCATTGGGCGTACTTTGATTTCAAAATAATATCATAATAAACTTCTATATTGCTGCAATACCTTGAATATCCAATGTCATGTAGGAAAAAAATATTCCTAAGATATTATAAGATCTTTTTTTATTATCTGAGGGTTGTGCAAACCTAAGACTTTTTTTTTTCTTTCTTTCTACAGTGCAGCCCCCTCCTACCTTTAGATTTTCCAGTAATAATTGTGTGCATTTCTAAGTAATTTTTAAAAACAATACAGCTTTACTCTTTATCAGGCTCATTGGTGTTGCATTTTCAGTCTTTTTTCTTATTGACCCTTAAGAATATCATCTAGATTTTTCAAACATTTATGCTAAAGCGATTAAAACACTTGTAAAGTATTGGAATTAGGTTTCTCTTGTATTTGCATTTTCTGATAATCACTGTAAAATCAATCTTATTCCAACTACATTTGTTTATTCTTTCTTACATCTGGTGTTCAAAGTTTAATTGAGTATTCTTTGTGCAGCACCAGGACCTCCAAGTCACTTACTAACCAAGATCTCACGAACAGATCCTGCTCTCATACAATATGCTATTCAAGCTTTTGGAACAAAGAACCTTTCCGAGGAAGACTGGAAGAAGGCTGAGGACCATTATAAGGTGTGTGCTCGACCTGCAACCAGATGGTTGTTTAGGTGAAAGAGCAATCGGCAAATTGTATTTGCACATGGACGCCCCTTTTGTTAAATTTTCATATTCTTTAATTACATTCATGAATCTCTTAGCATTGTTTTGTGTAAAAATATTGGAATTTAGAACCTGTCATTTTCGTTGTTTTACCTTTGTCAAGAAGGTTTTTATTCAATAAATCATGAATAAAATGACTCAATGCAATACTTATTTTTCTAATGTTCTTTCTTTCTTTCTTTATTTGTTTATTAAAGTAACATGAATTGATTTCGTTTATAATTTAATAAAGGAAAGAAATATGATTTTTCTTTGTAAGTGATAAAAACATAGTTTTATTTGTGTGAGGTATGCATTTCCACTTGAAAAAAGTGTGCGGTACTAAGTAAGAGGAGATCTGGGTTACAGATCAATCTTTTGTATCAAGACATGATGCGAAAACGACAAGAGGTGGAACAGTTGCAAAGACAAGGAAAGTTCAAGTATGAATATGACAGTGATGAAGAGACTGATGGTGGGACTTGGGAACATCGACTTCGACTAGCGGAAATGGAGGCAACACAACTCTGGGCAGAAGAACTCACAAAGAAGGCAGAAGGGAAGCACCACATTGGAGATTTCTTGCCACCAGATGAGTTGGAGCGATTCATGGAAAAGGTATTTTTCAGCTGGATATGTCTTAACTGAGTAATTTTGGCAAATTAAATTTGTTTTATGAATTTTAAAAATTTGGTGCAAGGAAAAACTCCTGATAAAACCACAATTTTTTATTATTAATAAATTTGTTCATTTGTCTACAGTACAGTGCACTAAAGGAAGGTAGAGAACCTGACTTATCAGACTATAAAGAATTCAAATTAAAAGAGGACAATATTGGGTTTCAAATGCTTCAAAAATTGGGCTGGTCAGAAGGTCAAGGTCTAGGGACGGATGGAGCAGGCATTGTGGATCCTGTAAACAAGTGAGTTAGAGTAATATATTGTTGTTAGAATGTGTGTGTAGGTGTAGGTGGGTTGTTGGATGCATGCATAACTGCATTCTCTTGGGTTTTCCTTTTTACAGTCATCTATTAGATGGGAAAAGGAATTAATTTATCTTTTATGTAAAGTCGAAGTAATTTTATCCCTTGAATATTTGCAATACACTTACAGGTTGAATGTTGTGTGTGCTTATTTTGTGTAATAGTCTCAACAGAATGTTACAGTGGTTAGTACATACTATTAATCAGTATTGAACATGTAGAAATATCCAAAACTTTGGATAATGGTGTCTTGTGGAGAAATTCAAGAAGGATAAGCCTGTTGTTAGAAAGCCCCAGGAAAAATGTGGATTGAAAAGCAGGCTCAGTTAAACAAGTTTTTAATTCTCACTAAGGCAGGTTTTTTCGTATAATAATGTTGGGGCTTCATTCATTGTCTCTCTAGTGGAAAGATCACACTTATTGTGGTTTGACATTGTATAATTTTTATCTTTGTTCATCTTAATTATTGTGGCATTGTTAAGAATGCTAAGAAATCCTTAGAGCAGGGCTATTTGACAAAAGTAGCTCCCAAGAAACCTCCATACATGCTCCACACACTGGTGACAAGTTCCCAGATGGGAAGCAGGTTTTACAAACTTCAATGAGAGAGCTGTGGATTGGACCTAACAAATATAATTGTACTGCATAAGCAGTATTAAGTTATAAAAATGTTTGATTATTTCTGTCTTTCTTTAATGTAAAAAGAAGTTTAAAAAAATAAATCTATTATAAGGAAGAGAATGCAAATTCTTAACAATTGGCATTTTAGCCATATACTACAAATTTTAGTTGTTATTCAAGCATTGTTTATCTTTCAAATGATATTTTTTCAATTAGTTCTTTCTCTCACTCTACAACACAAACATAATTTTTACGTTTTAATTTCTCAACATATATATACTTTACATTTTTAGAAATAAATATTCTCCATTTAACAATTTTTAACTCAGTTTGGTAGTATATTCTCAGTTATAAAATCTTTTTTTAAAACAAATCATTTCAGCATTTTTTGAAGTAGATTTTGTGTACTTGGACAGAAACATACCTTGTAATATTTTGCATCCCATTGTAACTACCTACTGTGCAACCCTATTGCATTAGTGTTTTCTTCCTCTCTTCAAAGGCATGACATTGCCTAGTAAGCACAATCATGCTCTGGGAATATATCAGCTCTGTCTTAGAGGATAATTTCTTTAAGAAGCCCAATGTTTGAATTCTCTATCATAAACAATCTTAACATTTTTATGATGTTACTTTCAGAGCATCAACTCGACCAGAAAACCAAGGATTGGGCTTAGAAAGACCAGAAGATGTTTCAAAAGGGGATGATGAATATGATGCTTACAGGAAACGAATGATGCTTGCTTACAGATTCCGACCCAATCCTTTAGTGAGTAAATTTTCATCTTGAAAATTTCTGGGTTCATTTCTTTCTCTTTGAGTTTGCGAGGTGAATTATATTATCGAAGGTATCAATTTGAACTTGCCTAATACTGTCTTTGTTTATTTGCGCAGAATAATCCAAGACGTCCATATTATTGAATATGTTGTAAAAGGTGTTATTTGTGAAAGAATTCTGAAGATGAAGTTGGAAGAAAAAATGGTGAATGTTTGTGTTTATGTACATACAAAGATAGGTAATAGGAATTTTTACCTAAATGTAATTATTTTAAGCTATCAATTTTAACCACCAAGTAACTGGCATTGCATTAAATTTATTCCATTTTTATACATTGCCAGTTTTGTGGTTAATTGTTTGTGCTGTAATTAACATTTATTAATGTTGTAAGACTGTGGAGTGTAATCGTGAGATCTTGTCAAATTTTTGAGCTATTCACAATTTATCTTCTGAGAATAACATGAAGCCGGTACAATAGCTCTGAAAATTTCACATCTAAGTAATGATTTGGACAAAACAATTTAAGAATGTGTTCATGTGTTTTGAGTACCACAGAAAATACTATGGAGTAATTATATTTTTGGCAGTGTAGTTTTATTGCCCACTGTAGCTTTTTCATGTTGGGGAAATGGTAAGGGTGTTATTATAGGACATGAAATGTGAATATACTATTGTGAAATCCTGACTGACACTTTCTGTGAATATTTGGCAGCAAGTAAATATCTCATAGCTTCTCTATATTTGAGAAGTTGTTTAGAATATATTATTCTCCAAACAGGTGAGGTTTCAGAATATTTTTTGGTCCTTATATCCAGAAAGCCTATACAATTTGTGTGAAATTGATGAGTGAATGGGTAAATGTTGCTTTCTGTTTCAATGTAATTTACAAATTTAAATGTGTCTTGATGTACTGTTTAGTTGTAACGTAATTGTTAATGGTGCTCTAAGATGTTTGAAAATTTGTTGTTTTGAAAATTAATAGTATGGGTACTATTATTTCAATATCAATAGATTTTTTTCTTGATGTGAAACATGGCCCAAATTTAATTTAATCCTGAAGAGCACTGTTAGTTGAATGTACTCTTCCTCTTCTGCGTTGTCTGCTGAAATTGAATGTTATCATAAACTAGAGGGGAAAATTGGGTTGAAATTAATTTGTTGTAACATGAAATGCTTACAGCAATTTGGTTTGTTCAACTTTTATATCTCCTTTATAGTTCCCTGACAATTGCAACACAATTTTGCCTTCTTTTGTGCCACATGGAAATCAGGGTACTATTGTATGCATATATTTTTAATTTAATTTAATTTGTGTAAATGTATTTTGAAAGGAGAAATGTTTTGTATATTTTGTCATGTGTAGCATAGAGTAATTGTTTCAATCTTTAAAGGTACCAGTGGTTGTAAATTTGTGTTAAACACATGAACCAATCAAAATATAGTATAACTTTATATAATGATCCCAAATCTTTGTTTACATTTTATATGTGTGTAGCTCATTCAATTTACATAGATTAAAATATTGAAATGAACATTCATATGTATTTCTTAATATTCATGTTAAAATTCCATTTCCATCATTTGTCTTGTTTCTTAGATAATAAAAATTAAATTTAAAAATGTAAAATCTTACTTGAAAACACACACTACCTTTATAATTGCATATCAATGCCGTTTCTGGTACTGAACACCAACGGAGGGAGAGGAACAACAGTGGATCCCAGAATAAATTAGAATATAATTGAAGGAAATTTTGTAGATTTAATGCTACATGTCTTTAGTGATGTTACAATAATTTTTTGCAAGTTTGTGTTAATATATTCTTTGCTCTAGAGGTATGGGATTGCCGTATATTTAGAATGTATTCCATGTTCGCACACTTTTCTGCACCCTGCACTTGGATATGCTCTTTTTTAATGAACTATTTCAAAATTTCTATTTTAGTCGTAATGCACAACTGTTCTTTACATTGTCGGATACTAAAATGAGAGTGCAATGTTTATGGGCAGTCCAGGCTGAAAAAGAACACTGGTGTTTCTATGAAGCAATTATGCATGGTGACTGTTTGAAATTATTTTTTGAACATTTGATAAGCTTTGAAAGATGTAGCTATCACTTAGGGTTTGGAAAGGTTCTGTTAATAAAAGGCGAATCTGAACATCAAAAGTAGTTCTTTAAATGATAAGTACAAATTTTCAAAATGTGAGTAGTTTTATTTTGAGTGAAATTGTGATTTATGTATACAGAGTGAAACTTAATTGGTGACGAATACTTTGAGGATGCATCCTCAATATCATGAACTGCAGGATGAAAGGACAGTGGCCCTGTTCCTGGTTAAGCAGTAGACCTGTAATATTTTAGTCTTCCAGGTGTACCTGTGCTATCCACTTCTTTCTTGGTCTTCCTATATCTCTCTGTTATGAGGTTTATATTTTAAGGTAGCCTTTGGGAATCTTAGTTTTTTTATTCTTTTAATATGTTCCAGCAATTTTTTTTCCTCGTTCTTTTTAATTTCCTCTGTTACATTTGTTGTCTTCAATCTTTTCCTTATGTCTTTTATTTCTCTGCCGATCCAGCCAAGGTGGTGTCTTAGAAACCCCCTTTGAGCTGCTTCTAGTCTTTGTTTGTCCCTTTGTTTTAGGATCCAGGTTTCTGATCCACGTAACACTCTTAGCTTCCCACATCAAAACAATTTAAAAAAGCCCAAATGAGCAGGGGTTTGAAAATGTTTTTTAGGGAATTATTAAATTATTCACCCTTTTGTTGCCATCAATAATTAAATGAATTTAATTGTTGCCTTTGACTGTTTTATTGTGATAATAAAGGCAAACTTATAAAAGTGTACTATGTTAATTAATTCCTTGGCATTCATTTTGTTCCCTGATAAGCCTGGTTTTACTTGTAACAGCCTCTGAAAACTCATGAAGTATAACAGGATAGTGCGAACAGAACCTCAACAGAGGTTCCACTTCATCATTTGGGGAGGAATCGTTCTTGATTATTATCCAACAAATGTGATTGTTGCAACAGTTTGCTCGTTTGTCTGATAATTTCGCACAGATGGATAGATTGAAGGGGATTTATTGAATGGCATGCTCTATTTCTGATTTCAATCCATTGGTTTTCATCTGAGGATATTTTAAGCCCCTGATGTATGCAATTTCTGTTCCTGCTATTGACATTATGAGAGCATATTTATAGGGAGTTTGACTAAATACAGAACACTCCAGGAGTTTTTATCAGAGAATGCAATAGCTTGGTACACAGGCTTAGGTCATGTATCAAAGCAGAAGGAATCCATTTTTGTAATTTTCAATTTCTTGTAGCTCTGTAATAAATGATTTTCAGGACCATGTTAATATGAACTCTTACTGTTTTGATGTTAAAAGTGCATCCTCGAAGTATTTGACACCAATAGAGATACACTCTGTGTAATAAATAATAATTTCATTCAAAATAAAACTACTCATATTATATAAAATTGGTAAAGATGATTTTCTCAAAAATGGCTCCCAATTTTTTTGTGTATAAATGTTTTGCTCAAATTGAGCAAAGTTTGCTTAATATTGTTGCATTGTTGTCATTTTCATTAAAACCCTTGACTTTTCAATATTTTTTAACTATCTCCTTCAATGACTAAAAAAAACTTTCTGATAAAAAAAATTGAATGATCAGATCTTTTTTTAAATTTTTTTATTGTAATTTTGAGAGAACTTGGACAATCTTTCATAAATTTGTAAATGAGGTTTGCTCAAAAACAGCTCCAAAATGTTTGCTATTAAACTTTTTGTAAGAATAGAGCACTATATATTGAATTCTAAAACCATCTTTATTGAAACTTTTGACTTTAAAAATATAAAAGATATGTTTTGTTTTTTCAAAACCCTGCTTTTCATTTGATGCAGTGTTTCTCACGAGATGGTTAGGTTATTCAGTTTCAAGTGGCCGTATCTTTGTATAATGATTACTTGTAATACAGGGATATGTATGCTGTAGTAGGTAGCCATTTTTGTTTTTTTTAAATTACCTTTACTTTCAAATAACATATCACTGTTTACCATCATACATTTTAATCTCAGTATTTTATTTTTAAATATACAGAAAATTCCTCTCGTAGTTGAGATACTTCATTTTCTCTAGGGGGCGGATTTTAAAGAAATGTAGTTATTTTTTTTGTTTTCCCTTTAGAATGCTGTTTAGTGTAGAAATTCATTTTATGTTATCACAAAAGGAAATGACCTATTTTTATGTCTTTGCATTTTTCGTTGATTGTGATTAATAAGTAATTTTTTACCTTTTCCTGTCAATTTTAATGCATTTTTTTACTGATTTCATCTACTTTAATATCATTTTAACGGCACTTCCTTCAAATAATATTTTCAAGATACAACAAATGTTCTCCACAGAATTCCTGAGTTCATGTTCATAGTAGCCTATTCAATTTCTTTGCTCAATGATTTATTGTCACCATTGTGAATATGTAATCTAATTTTTCTGTGATGCCTATCAGGGCCATTTGCAGTACAGTCGATTATGGGATAACTAAAGAGAGATTTTCTGGTTAAAAACAGTCCAAACAACAAGATTGAAAGCAAGGTCACTTGAATGAATAGAAGCAGCATCAGTAACATATCCAACAGCATAAGTTGTTCATCCAAACTAGTTTTGATCCCGTATTTTACTTCATTTTTCTTTGCTTTTAGGGCACTTTTACATTTTAAGAGCATTTTATTGATCATTTTTGACGGTGATTTAAGTCATCAAAATCCACCCCTGGTGTTCACTATGAAACTTTTCACCTTTCATTTTTGATTGTTTGGTTCCTTTTTGGTAATTTTCAGATGAACAAAAGTTCTAGCAGGATACAGATTCTGCATGCTTTGACACTTCAAAATAAATAAGATTAAATATAATAAATATGTAATTTTATTGAGTATTTTAATCAGTAGGTATAAAACAAGATATACTTATTACAATATAAGTACTTATTCACAGTAGTATTGCATAAAACTCCATATTTCATTCTTCTGAATGATTTAGTTTTTGAAACAAGATTATCAGAAAGAAAATGTTTATTGGTCAGTCTAATTAGTCATGTAATTTCTTGATTCACTAATAATTAATATTCAAATTTACCGTCTTTCTTTTTCTCTCCTTTACTTAGCACACCCGTAAGCATGTCTACGAGGGCAAATAACTGTTAAAGACTAATGAGTCTGCAATGGAGCATCTTATCTCCCCAGTTCTATCAACTCTATCTTTCTTGCAGCCTCCAACAAAATGAAAAAATCTGTTTTCACTTTAGGATTATAAACAAGTAGAAAATAATGATCAACTAATATCTAATTGTTACACACGTCTCTGCTATTTTCTTCTCTTTCATATTAGAGTGCTTGCATATTGAAGTAAGAGAACGATTCTTCCTTAATTAATCGACCTCAAAATACAAAACTGTTTTGATGAAAGCTAAATACTTACTCATAGCAAACGTGTGTAAAAATTGAAGAAAAGTTTTTTGTTTTCCCACATCATCTTGTATGAGCAAAACATCGAAATTATTGAGTCAAGATAACTGACTGATGTACTTCAGCATTATGCCAAACCCAAGTAAAATTAGTTTCTTAATTTAAAAAATGGATATATCATACATTGGCTCCACTTTGTCCATGATTATGACTTTTTTGAAGTTTTGCTACAGACCTAAATTGAATTTCTTATTGAAAGTAAATTAAAATTTAATAGAGTTTTTGCAAAACCGTATTGCAGATGGCATTCACTGAAATACATAATTTTGGCCTTCAGGCATATTCTTTAGACCAAAATATACAAAACTAAAGCAAATGATATCAGCCATATCAAATCTAAATTTCATGTTCTAGCCTTTGGCAAAGATTTGAATCTTAGTTAATGGGTTTTAAAACTTCACTTCTCTAATTAATGAATGATCTGTAATATTAATGTATGAACCATTTATCATTTGAGTAGGTAAATATGGCAATATGGAAATATTTCTTTGATAATCTGTTACAATCAAGCAATACATGAATAAGGTTTGTCCAAGTGGGTTATCACCACATACAACAATTTGGCACATTTAATACAACTGACCTGAGTTCCAGTTACTCTGTTCAGTTCACTTACATTGAATTCTGAGAATTTCAAGTGAATAATATTTTTAGACTGGTTAGGGACTCAATAAAAATAGTCCTTTGAATGACATTTAATACTTAATATATTTTCCATCTTTATTCACAATAAAATAGTGATGAATCTTACAGAATATCTAAATATACTTACATCTTTATTTACTTTTGAAATTCTCAGTCACTGTATTTCAAAAGAAATACTGAAACCTAAGAATTTTAATACCTGATACTTTATTCTAGCTGACATTGATATAACTCTCACTACCTTACAAGGGCAACTGTTGTGATTACAAATGTTTTTATCTTTGAGGTGACATTAAATCTTATAGTGAAAAATCTTTGGTTTGAGAGCTGTCAAATTCGTGTGTTGAATGTTGAGAAGGGAGGGCCACTGTCAGCTGTGAAAGTTCCACCATACTAGTGGGATGTGTTACTGGCAATAGAACATCCATGTCTGAGATCTCTAAATCTGTTCTTTCAGGAAGCAAGGTGATGGAAGGTGTAATGTCTCCATCTGTTGATAAAGTAGTATTGTAACATAGATTTCCATCAATTGTGATACTGTAAGGTCGACGGGATAGGGTGGTCATATCAGGAGCTTTTCCTACAGTCAAATTATTCATGGAGCTTGTATCCATGGTTTGCATGCTTGGAAATTCCACTTCCTCATTCTGCAATGTTGGTTGGTTGAGGTAAGCCTCCTCAACAGGCTTCAGCTGGAGTAAGTTGATGTCATCTGCAGTCTTCTCAGATATATTTAAACACATACTATCATTACCTCCGTCTGTCAGAGTGCCAGATAATGGTGCATTGTTGAGCATTTCAGTCGGATCTGGCTCACTAACATAATTTTGGCCTTCGGGCATATTTGAACTAACCGAAGCAAAAGATGGCCTGCAAACTTGTATTGTATAAATACAAGGTAATTCTTTGGCAGTTGTTTCTGAGCTGACATTGTTTGAATGGAGCTTCAAGTGTTTCAGAAGACTATCCTGGTACCGAAAAGCCTTTCGACAAACATTACATTGGTAAGGTCGAGAAAAATTGTGGGTTCGAGAGTGATTGGAGAGAGCCAATTTTGTGGGATATATTTTATCACAGTAACTGCATGTAAAAGACCCTGGAGGTTTAATCTTTGGGGCAAATGTGGGCCTGTGTGTCAACAGATGCCTGTTTAGTAAAGCTTGTGTAGCACACTTTTTCTTACATACTGTGCAAGGGAAATGCTTCTCATCATTGTGATGAAGTTTGGTGTGATCTCTGAGTTGATAAGGCATAGCAAAGGTTTTCCCACACAAATTACACCGATGTGGACGCTCATGGAAATGCAATCTTTGATGATAAATTAATGTACTCTGTGTTGAAAAGTGTTTCCCACAGATTCCACACATCTGAGATATGTTACTCTGCTCTGTGTGCTTTCTTTTAACATGTGCCTTCAAGTGTGATTCGTCTTTAAATTTTGAAGGACACTGAGTACATGTGAAGGTAACAACATTTCCCCCCTCTTCATGTACTTTCAAATGCCTACTTAAGTGTCCTTTTCTTAAAAAACCCTTACCACAAGTATTGCAATGGTGTGAACTGCGACCAAGATGGGACCCTGCAACGTGAAGCTTTAGAGCTGAAGTTGTAGCAAAACATTTGCTGCAGTACTCGCACTTCTGTTCTTTGTTGTGAAGTTTTATGTGAGTCCAAAGAGCATGTCGTGTGAAACTCTTCCCACAAATGTCGCACATGGCACTCTTCTTCTCATCAGCACTCTTGTGTATTTTCTTGTGATGGTTCAGACCTGTTTTACCAACGAAACTCTTGTGACAGACATCACACTCATATGGCTTACTGCCAGAATGGGTTCGTTTGTGCTCCTGAAGGTACTGCTTGCGAGAAAATGTTTTTTTGCAAACCTCACATTCAAATTCACTAGTTTTCTTTTTAGTGTGTGTGTGTTCATGTTTCCGCAGGGTGTTTTTGCTTATGAAACACATCCCACATGTCTCACACTGCATAGGCCTGGCACCCGTATGAGTTCGAAGATGATTTTGCAATTCACTAGGTCTACTGAACTCCTTTAGACAGAGTTTGCACTGCCGAACATTGCCATCTGGGTGATCTAAAAGATGTAACTTGAATTCCCAACGTGCTGTGAATTTTGAATTGCATGTCTGACATTCAAAGGTACGTTGTTTATGCTTCTTTGCCATAACATGTGGATTATTTTTCTTAATGTCATTTAATTCATCAGATGAACTTTTAATTACAGATTCTAATTTTTCTGGATCATCAATTTCACTATCTTCTTTCTCAGATCTTAAACTTATGGTATTTTCATGAACATTATTTCCAGATACAATTTGTTTGTTTACAAGTTGGGCATATGTTTTATTTTTCATATTTTCCTTTTTGTTCAAATCATCTTCACATTTCATTGGGACATGTGTCTCTCCTATCATATTGTTTTCTTTTTCAAAGCTATTATGTGCACATTCTAAATCAACCAATTCATTTTTTATTTCCACTTTTGCGTGCATGTATCTTCCTGGAATGCATTTAATTCTGGAAGCATTTAATTTATCATTACTGTTTATTCTATGATATCTATTTTCCATTTTCTCTCTAACATCTTCAGGTACATTTTCATCACAATCATGAGAATTACATTTTATTGTATACAAGGTTTGTTTATTTTGATGCTTTGATATTGGAAAGTGTTTTTTATTAATGGCATCGGATTCAGTAATATTCAACTCTTCCTTTACATGAACAGTTTTATTACTTATGAACTCTTCTTTTTCCGAGCTTTCCTTACATTCATCGTCTTTACTTTTTCCATCTTTCACAAACCTTCTGCTCTCAGTCTGAAAACAAAGATAATTTTATTAATATGACTAGGCATTGCTTATTAATAACACTAATTTAATTACATAAAATATGTACAAGCAGACATAATTCTGTAAATACTACACTTTTTGAGAAATAAGAGGAAAGCTAAAAAGCTTTTAAATTAGCTGTTTTTAGCAGTTTCTGAGGGGTACTCCTATGTTATGCCTGCCTTCCAAGATACCTTACCTTTGGTTTTAATACTGTGTCATTGCAAACAGCAGAGTCTATTTTAGTTTCACCCTCCTTGTTAGAGGATTTCAAGGAAGTAAATATTCGGGGAGCTACATCTGGAGAAACTGGAAGAATGTTTAAATCTAACCATTCTGACATGTTTGCTTTAAATTCTTCCATATCACCTTCAAATTTTGCTTCTCCAACATAGATATATTCAAGTAAAGTTTGTATGTTGTTAGAATTAAAACTCTCCATCAAAACAACAACATCTTTCAAATTATAATTAAGGAAAATTGCCAACTCTTTGAAGAAAATACTGTAAATACTCAATATGACACTATGTGCTTTAAAAATTTTTTGTTTGCAAAATATATACACATCTACCATTCTTTCATATCTCAACAACTCTGCTAAAGCGGCTGGTTTCAGAGATGAGCTAATTATATTGGTTGAACATCCTTCTATCTCCTTTTCAGGCACTTTTACAACTTCGTAAATAGGCATCTTGGCCGAAAGTAGCTTACTAAGTGTGTCTATACCTAGGAGGTCAGCTACTTTATACACTGACTCAATGTCTTGTGAAGGAATGTGAACTTCTCCTTTGTAACAGAATTGTAAAACAAATTCTAAGTCATCCTTTCTGATATTACGTAAGGCCACAATATAAGGCTTCCTCTTCTCAGCACAATGTCCAGTAAATACTTGAAGAAGAAATGGGCTGCAGGCACTCAAAATACATGCATGTGCAAAAACTTTGTGTTTGTTGTTAACGATGAACACCACATCAGTTTTGGATGGATTTTGACGAGCATCCCAAATCTTCTGAGATAAATGTAATTTGTGATTTGGGCATATAATAGTTGCTTGATCATTCTTGCTAGATGATTCAAAATCATGTGAATTGATTGCACCAAGACCTTCAATTTGAAGAGAGCTAGCTGTGAGTAACAACTGTTTTTTGTATCTTTGTGAAATGTTTGCTATGCCTTTATAAATATAATCAATTAAGGCTTCAAGTACAGTTTTTCTTACATCAGCATTTATAATATACTTTACATTCTCCTCTGAGAGAGATTCAAAATAATTGCTGAAGCATGAAAGTACTAACTGATGTAAGTGAAGTGGTTCACTTCCTGCCATCAGAGCAAGATCAGTTGCAATACCAGCCTTGGCAAAATATTTCAGTGTTGTCATCACTTCATCCACATGATCTCTCTGCTGTATTTTAACAATATCCATTGTGTTCAAATGAATTGTTGGCTTTCTAAATTATTTGTAAACATAAACCAACATTATTTTTTCATCATTTGTTTACTGACATGTCCAAATTAAATATACAAATACATTCTTCTCAATAGACATGTGTACATTCATGGCATGAGTATTTCACATAAAATTCTATCTTTAAGGATTCCTAGCAAATGACATGGCCAGAACTTGCAAATATAAACACAGAGTGCTTTTTATTGATTTATTGACATTTTTTGTACAAACGTCTTACGACATACAATAACTTTTCAAAACACCAAGATTTTGAAAGTAATGTTCTACAATACTAATCTACACATGTTTCTCAACAGGAAACAGATTCATCCACTGTTTTTGAATAACCAACAAATTCAAAGTATCTATATTCTTTATTCAATGCGTATGTTTCTTCAATAATTCTAGTTCTTCAAGCAATTTTCTATCATATTTAGAATTAACTTCTTTAATACAGTCTTGAATTTGTTTACGAGCTTCCTCACTTTCTGGAGGGTATAATTCTCTTCTGGTTTTTGTAACCCATTGTTCAAAATATTCAGGTTGGTTGAAGTAATGAAACATGCCCACAGGAAATGACATGTAAAGTACCATTTTACCAACTTCCAATAACCAGCCACCCATTTCCGATTGGTTACAAAAGTTCAGTGAATAATAACAGCTGCTGATTACACACCAAATTCGGTTTCAAACCTCTCGACTCTCTGTCTGCAAACAAAATATTAAAATATAATTAAATGTCACTTTAGCTATTTCCCAGAGGCATTAATGAATAATATATATTAAAAAACAAGTTTGCAATAAAACTCACCTTTCACCTATGATCTGTTACCATTTATCCCGCATCCTCCGGTTATCACACGTTGAAACGAAGAAGCATCGGTGTGTTAAATCATGCAACTAGTACATAAACAAACTACGGTGACGTGTTTACACATCTACTTAAAACATACCGAACTCTCCGCAACTCCAGGGTCAGTAAACCAACGAATTTTTCACATTCACTTAAAACACTAATACGAGAAACGGACATACATCAATTAATCAATAACGACCTAAACTGTTCTAATGAGACATGGACGCTCCATTCTAAATCCCTCAACTTCGCTGAACTGGCTTTCCTCAGCGATCCTCAACTGTTCGTCGTATATGCCATGTATTTTATTCCCAACCTCTTCCCAAGGGCAGGGCTTGCAATCCTCTCCACGCGATAATTACCAACTTGAGAAAATTCTCTATTGAGCAATGAAAATGTCAAGGATGGTATTAATAATATCGTTGTATTATTTCCTACAAGATGGCATTGCAGAGCAACACACTACTGCTCTCTAGTGTGTAAATCTTAGATCCGCAATTTATGAATAGGTATTGAGCATAAACCAAGAGATCTATGTTCAATTCCCAGTTGAGGTCATTAATGATTTTAATTATGAATTCTTATTATTTCGTGTACATTCAAATTATGATACATCATGTAAATATTTCTTATGAATAAAAAATCGTATTTGGTAACTATCTGCCATTCATTAATGTTGGGTATCCTCAAGAAAACTTTGTTTAATAGTGGGACAATCATAATACAGCATCTCATTAGCCGTTACTATTAAGTTACTAACTACCGTTAAGAATAAAAACAAATGAAAAATAGCAACAAAAAAAAACAAACAAAAAACGATAAAAGATTTCAACATGTGAATTGTAAATACTTATTGAAATAAAACATAAAAATGGATATTTCGTTACAAATGAAGTTACCATTTATCCTGTTACCTATTTATCCTATCCACATACTATATTCATCAAAAGGTGGAAGAGTGCTATCGTGCATGATTCAGGAGTTTGCAGTTTTTAACGTACATGTAACATGTATCACTTATTTATCTTCGAAGTTTAAAATTAAAGGCTCTTATCTCCAGGGGCGCCCAGACAAAAACAGGGGCCTAGGGCAGTTGATCCAAGGGGTCCCTTTTGCAAACAAAAAAATTCTTCCTACCCCAATGGATAAACAGTATTAATTTCTCCATGCATCAAAAATAACTTGTAGCGTTAAATTTTAATTAGAGATAAATATATTTTTTTATTTCTTTTGAATGAAAAAATTAGGGGTACCAAGTAATTCGGGGGAATGAATTAATGAAGGAATCGACTCATTCCCGCGAGAACGTGGCGATCGACATCACAGATCCGCGAGCAAAATGGCATTATATAAAATCAAAATTAATTAAAACACGCTACTCTTCCTTCGCATTCGTTCACCAAACTCGTGACGTCTGGAGTCAATTGGTGAAACTAAGAAAGATATAGAACAAGACTCAAAATAAATTTATTTCATGGTTAGGAGCCAACGATTTACTTTCATTCCCCTCCAGAGAAAACATATCTCTCATTTCTCTTCTTTACTTATTTCTTTCTTGGGTACATAACGTAGAAAAAGTGTACAAAGATTAACTAATCGTGATAAAAACGATCTCGAAATTTTGACATAAATACTGTAACGAGTCAAGGTGTTCGTATGCTCGGCCCGCCAGTATAAAAATGATATGACCTTAGTGACAGACAAGACATCCAAAAATATTTTTAAAATATCAACAAGAATTCGAATGAACGTCTTACGGAACGCAGTGTAATATGCGGCCAGGTGGAAGACGAATTTTTATGAGCTGACGTTATTCAGTTAAAAGTAAAAACTGAGTAATTTAATCGCCGATAAGGAATTCGTGTTTTAGAGGAGTTGGAAGATTTGGAAAAAATATGAACGATGTTTGACGACTTGTGCACGTGAGCAGGAAGACGTATATTGAAATACGAACAGACCATAAAGTTTTTTCTTTTAATTGTTTGCGTTCTTGTTGTTAAGTTCTTCTGGTTGTTATTGTTTCTTTTTCTACGTATTGTTTAATATTGTAAATAAATGTTTTTATTTTTATTTGAATCTTAAAAATGTTTTTTTTAATTTAATCAAATGGTAAGTTACCTTTTTTTAAGTTAATGGAGTATACCATAAAATCATCGACCCCGAAGTAAATAAATCCATATTTCTGCATTTCCTTATTAGTGGATTTATTTCACTAAAGGAAAAATTAGAACCATCACAATACACACGAACTGAAATTCCCTCGCAGTGGCTTAAAAAACATCTCTTTCCATTTTGTATAATTTTTCGATCATGATAAATTCTAGGTATGGAAAGAAGCTAATTAAAACGACAAAAAGAAATTGGATCGAGAAGCTAAAATACTCTCTACCAGCCAACAAACCGAAGTTGAGAGAGCATTGGAAATGAAGTTTATCATTCCCTTAAAAGATGGCGCTAGCATTAATTCTGTGCGGGAGGGAATGTCACTATAAAGTGGTCCTTTTTTGTGAATTTCAGCTTGAAATAAGTTTCATGCATCAAGTTTTTCTACTTTCCGGATGTTTTTGGATCAGTTTTGACTTTTTTGCGGAGTTTTTGCAGAAGCAATTGTTTATATCCATTCCTTTTTTGCTGCACCTGAACATTACCACTCTTCAACAGACACCTATTCCTGTTTTGCTACTCTACTCCTATTTAATTACCACGATGAATTGCTTTCTGAACGAAATTCCTCTTGTAACAAAATCAGTTGGGAATTATTTAAGTATTCGCGGGCGCAAATGCATTTCCTCAGACGAAAAGAAGGGGACTCCCTTGTAATTTTTAAAGAAGCGTCAAAAGTAATGCCAAAATGGATGATTTTACTGTTCATCTACGCAGAGCCATGGTCTATTGTTGATAATAATACATATCCTTAAAAAAAATACAAAGCTACAATACGAGGTTATCGGACATTGAGGAAGAATAAGTACCAGATTTACTCGAAGGAATACTGTGTCTTTGAGTAGTAAACTACTTTAGAATACTTAGTGAGGTTCCCAACGGTTATTTTGCTCAATTTTGGTTATTTTTAAGACCAACACCCCAGAGATGAAATGAAAATATACTTCATTAAAAGAAATATTTTGTTCAAATGTATAAAAATGTTTTATTCGGATTTATCAGACATGTAGTTGTCATTATCGCATGTTGAGCATGCATTAATGGAGGGAGGAGAGGGTCAAAACGGGCCCTCATTTTAAGAATCTTTTTTTGTGAACATACTCATAAAAAATGAACCACCACCCTATTTCGGTTAAACAGCAGTATTTTAAGCAATTAGAAAACTTGGTCCTTATCTGATCTGGGAGTGTGAAGGATACAACTAAAAGTGCTAAAACTGCGCGATCAAAATCGCCCTCGGTATACAGGAGTACCTTGCCGACTCGATGCAGATTTAACCCTATTAACTAATTGCCATGTTTCCCAATTGGGAATCTCAGACCTACCTGATATTGTGTTCTTTACCTTACGAATTTTATTTCTTCAATTAATGATGACATTTCAACGAAACATGTAAGCAAGCTTTTTTTCATTCCTGAATGTCAGAAATCGATTTAGACGTGATCGCTAAGGCATTGTACTCTCCTACTACATTGTACACACCTAATACACTACGCTCTTACTACATTGTACACTCCATTGTATACAATTGTGGTCCGTATTATATTTTATCAAAAGGTTTGAGAAGAGGGTATAAAAAAGTATAAAGAATCCTGCCCCCCCCAAAGTGGATTAGTTTACGTTTAAGAAAGTCGTCAGTACTACCTCATCCCTGCTGCACAGGCCAGAAAGGGCCCCCTTGCGCGTCCATTTCAGCGCAAATGTCCATGAACTCGATCGCATTCAAACAGTCTTCGCTTTTTCTCTTGCTGATCACCACGTGGCACATGTAGTTTGGTGGTTGTAGGGGCAGGGTCGAAGGTTGCCGATCATTTCTTTTTTGAGGAGGGGGGCGCGTAATAGATTTTTCTTAAAAAATAAACATATTTGTAGTATTGTATAATATTTTTATTGCGTATGTACGAATTTAATTTAATTGATGGCTTATTTTACATGGCGAGACTCGGGCCATCAGGCCCGCTCTTCCGTCTGACCACGCAAATTTCGCTACGCTCCTTTCAACAACTAGAGAAGAAAGGAGGTATTTCTTGGGCGACGAATAGACGATTTGAATTTAGCTCAGAGGCGTCATTTAGGATTGAGGATCATTTACATGCAAGTAAATCTACTAACGTGGGACAGCTGGCTTTACTTCTCCTCCTAAAGAAGGCGTACGAAGGATTATTTCACCCTTAAAAATCCACGGCTTCGATCGGGTTTGAACCACTACGCTAACCGTTATACCATCGCCGCCGCTACTGCTAGCACAATATTCTTTTATAAATAATTACATAAGGCTAACATAAATATTTAAATAAATTTTGCCTAATAAAGGAAGATAACAAACGAAAACTCTAGGCCTTTTAGAGGGTATGGCTCCCAGCCCTCCTTCTCCTTCCCCCGGAACCACCACTGGGGACAGGTCAGGAGTGATTATGCACCGTTCTATGGCAGTTCGTGCGGGTGGTAGACTGCAAGCGGAGACCAGAAGACCGAAAGAAATGCGTATACCGAATTTATTTATTTATGAATTCATTTGTTTATTTATGAATACATTTATTTAAATAATAATTAAATGATCGATAAGATGCCTTTTGTGTGGAAATATCTGTAGGCTATTACTGGTTAGTACAGCAGGAACAATAATTATTTTATTAATTAGTTTTGAAACTTAAGTTTTGATTATAAAAGTAAAAATTAGAATTTAAACCAATAAAAATGATCAAAACATTCAAAAGTAGGAAGCGAGATGAAGACAGTAAAGAAGTCGCTTATAACCTAAGCAATGAGATCGTGCAATACGTATATCGCTGACATAAAATAAATGAAAATCGGCTATCTAAGCAAATGTTAAACTAAAGACCATTAGGAAAAAGGTGGGTGGACCTAGAAGTGACAGAAGACTGTAAGGCTTTGGTTCCATTTAAATAAGTATCTGATTGTTACGCCATTGTGGTACTTTCAATGAAACCATTTATCACAATGTCCAAATATTTATTAAGTTTACCTTTGAATGGTGCGATAAGTTATTTTGAAGTATGAATTATATTTGTAATTTAGCCGCGGTATTCTACGTATGGACATGAAAACGGGAACAATAAGAAGAAGGAAAGAAGAAGCACGAGGGAGACATAGGAAGATAAAAAGAAGAAGAAGCGAGGAAGAAGAAAGAATAAAATTCACAAAAAATGAAGACTTAACAGTTGTTAGTGGAAATCATTCCTGAATCATGAGTAGGCAGCAAACACTCAGTCATCAGCCAATAAACAAATTCTACACAAGTACTACATACGGTCTGTTATAAAATCTTGGATTTTAAGTCAATTCTTTACTACTATTCTCTGTTTAGAGGAGTAAAGAGATTATATTTATTTTGTATTTTTTATTTCTATTTGAAATTATTTTCAATCATGAACAAGAAAAACTGTACTTGTTAGACAAATTTCGTGATGAAAGAATGGGGAAATGTGATGGTAATGTCCACCTTTGGAGCAGTGTTTCATAATAATATCATGTTACAATAACAAAACCTTTCACCCTAAACTCGACTTTCTACAGCCGAATATTCCTTAAAAATTGTCATCTATACCCACGACGTCATTAAATTACTCTTTTTATTAGAACGTTTATTCTTATCGAGCGGTATGATTAGGGCGAGTTATTTCTGTAACAAACGAAAGTTGTGAAGGCATCATCCGATTTTTTTCTTCGAAAAAAACAACAAAAAACAAGTAAGTTTTACATACATTTTTAAATTCAATTACAATAGTTTCTGTTTTTAAAAATTTCTTACGGTATTTATCATTCTTCTACGCAGAATGCTGTTTATGTACGAGACGTCCTCTCATTTCTATTTGCAGGTATGTATAGACAGGTCAATGGATTTTATTTTCTCGTTCCCGACATACATAAATATGTTTAATTAGTAAAATGTGGCGTCGCCGACGCTGTGAACTGTTTTAAAAGGATTTTCATTAAAAATTTCTAAATGCCATACATAGCTTTATTCAAATAAGTTCTTTCAGTCTCTGGAATTAGACATATCAATGAATTGTAGTAGCTGATAATGTTATATACCCGCTCAAAAATTCCCAACCCCCAATGGCCTTGTATGTTACATGCACACGGGATATGGACAGGTAATATTGAAATTTTAAATTGAAATCGCCGTAAAAAAATATGTGCTGATATGGATGGTGCGAATAATTAGAACTCAGTACAGCTAAATTTTGTACTCGGTTTTGCCTAATAAGCACAAAAACGCCCATGAAAATCACCTGTGAGCTGATCTTCAGCGTTATTATTAAAGAATGATATAATTCTCAATTAATTCAGAAATTTCTGTCGCAAAATCTTCTACTACTACATTTAATTTTCCCCCGGATTCGCTTAATACTTCCATATTTTTTCTTCTAATTTTTGAAGAGATTAAAACTCCACAAACTCAGTCTAATTTGTGTTTACTTCTACTCTGCAATTGCTTTATTAATTCTTTTGTAGGCGAATCTATATAAACATTAAAAGTAAACAGCTTTGTATGTTTATGTAAACTAGGTATTATGTTTAATAAGAATAAGTTGTTAGTCACACTCATTCGAAAGTTGATATTTCCACACTTAAGAACGTAAATGCGTTTCCATTCTCTAGCTTTACTCAGTTTGGTTTTCTCAGTATTTACTTGAAGGTGAAGTTTAAAAAGTTCCAAGGCAATACGTACATGGATTTTTGCAATGAAAAATACGGAAATACGGATGAGAATAAAATGAAATATACCGCGCGAATCACGTTTTGCACTTAGAGACGGCAACAATCAGTGTTGCTATACTTGTGAAAGAAAAGTATTACTTCGTGGAGCGAAAATTGAGACTGAGTACTGTGGTTTAATCAACACCGCCTACATAGATCTATTTAGGCGGCGTTGTTTACCCCATCTCTCCACTAAGATCGCACCGACAAAAAACGTTTTTGGAAATTTCTTCGAATCTTCTGGCCGGGTCCGAAAAGAAATTATCAGTTCCCCACCAGGACATAGAGGATGCAATTATCTCGCTAACAGCTTCTACGGCAGATATGCACAACGCCTGTTTCTACGGACATTCTGCACTTACGAGCCAGTCGAAGCCGGAGCGAGGTTGATTGAATGCCTGGGTGTATAATGCAATGATCAATGACGTGAAATTATTTGCCCACTTATTTAAATGGAAAATCTACCGTATTTCTAGCTACAAGGGCTATATTTCGCTGTTTTTGTTATTTTGTGTACTGCAATGTATCGACTTTTTTTTTACTGTATGTTGTTTACTTTTGTATTATAGCAGTGGCCTCTTTGCAAAAATTAATGTAATTTTAACTAACAAAATTTTACAATTTAATAATAATTTTTTTCACCAGGAGCGTTATAATCTCCAAATGATAGTAAAACGAAGAAAATTGAGAGTAGTTTCTCTAATCGAGACTGATATAAAAATGAAATATAGACAATTCCAAGAAGAGTTATGTTTGGCAGAACGTATATTTGTGTCTATTTTCCCTCATTATGAAGCTGAATAAGAGATATGTACGAGAAGACCTCTTTTACAATATTTTAAGGGCAATTATAACATTATTAGGTCTTGTTAAATAGAATGCAAAGGGCTTAATCTATTTTATACGATTTCGTAAACGATTAGGAATAAATAGTGTTCGTTGAATTGATATTACAATTATATAATTTATTCTTGTTGGAAATCTGAGCAGAAAGTAATCATGATTTTGATAAAAACTATTTTTTTAGTTTTGATAGAACCGTCTTAATCAATTAAACATAATTAATTAAAAATAATTTTTTTACTATCTTAAAACAAAAAATACACAATATTACAATTTTGTATTTAGCAGTAAGCTAAATTTGTGATTACATCGTAACAAAGCAAATTGCATTATCATCTCTACAAGCAATTATACTACTGGTATCTAAATCAAATATGTACGTCTAATTACTATTAGGTTCACTTTGTTGTACAACAAACCTTTCCCCCAAAAAAATAATGCTACTTGAAGTGTATGTAATAGTCCGTCTTAGTTCTCGCAAGCGAAATAGGAGAAGTAGAAGAGGAAGATGAGAACGAAGAGGAAAGGAAGGTGACGAGAAGACGGTGAAGGCGGAGGTAGAGGTGGAGTATTCAGTTGAGGAGGAGGCGGAAGTGGGTGGAGGTGGGCGGAGGTGGAGGCGGAGGATGTGGCGAAGGGGGAGATGGAATTAGAGGCCGAAACGAAGATGGAGACGGAGAAGAAGGAGCTGGTGGTAGAAAATCTGGAGAAGAAAAAGGAAATTGGGGAGGAGGCCCTCTGCCCGTGCAGCCGCGCCTTGCCACGCCGCGCCATACCGCGCCACGCCGCGCCAACTGCGCCACGCCGCGCCACGTAGCGCCACGCCACGCCGCGCCGCGCCGCGCACAGGCCTGCCGCGGCTGCGCCCTTCGCGGCCGGCAGCGCCCGCGGGCCTTCAATTGTTTCGCGCAGGCGCACGGGCGTCCGGGCCTATTTCCACAAGAATAATAAATATTCATAATCTGTTTGCTCGGCCCCAACGCTCTCGCGGGTGCTTTATGGGGCATTCATTGCGCGTCCGACGCCGGCAATTAACAGCATTCCGATGACCCATTGTTCATGTCAAGTCACGAGGAAATATAAAATTTCCAGTGCCCCGCGCGGTATCCCCGGCCGCTCGCCTCCGCCCGCGCCGCCCCCGCCTCTCGCGGATGGTGGCGCTTCGCGCGAAGCAGCTGGACAAATCTCACGGAAGTCTTCAGATCAAACGGCCAAACAATAACATGTCTTCCCTTTTCCAATTTTGTGCAATGCACGCCAAAGTTAGCGATTTGGACGGGTTTGGAATCGGAAGATATACGTCAAAGGAAAACCTGGGTCTGGCTATAAGATTTTTTTGCCGAAAATTCGCCGTTTTCTGGCGTGCGATTAATTTTTTTTTCTGTTTACGAAGTACCTTCGTCACAGCGGGAATGTAAAGCATAAAAATCATTTATGATTCCTCTTTTACGTTCTTTAAATTATTATTATTATTATTATTATTATTATTATTATTATTATTATTATTATTATTATTATTAATATTACATTTTATGTTATTTCAAAAATAATATATTAAGTAACCATCATTATTATAGTGTTTGAGCGATGAAAAAATGATTTAGTTTCTTGGTATGTTAAAATATGTACGCACTTGTTAGGAAGTTTATTGAAAATATTTCGTTTCAGTGCCCAGTTAATTGTATTGTCTGCATGTGTGAGAGCAATTTTCTGAAATACAAACAAGTGTACAACTGAATAATTCAATTTTATATTACTTTTTATTAAAGTGTTTTTTAAGAAACTTAACGTTTATGACCAATGTTCTGCAATTTCAAGGAGTCTTGTTCTCATATAAAGTGCTAAGAGGAGATGTAAACTTTTGTGACGCGTAGAATTTCAGTGGGCGAAGGAAATCGTAATCCCCACCTAACATTTTGGATATATATTGAAGAAAAAATTAATTTTACTTTCGATGTATCAGGAAAATACCACATCTCTTCCACAAAACTTTGCCACGTCTTACAGACAAACAAGTGAATACAATACTCATTGTATTTAATTTACGTTTTTGTAATGTAACAAAATGCCTTATGAGAGCAAAGTATTTTTGATTAACGAATTGTATGATAATTAAACAATTATTATTTCAATATTTAGCAGACAACTGCACTGTTGTAATTTGTAATCTATCTGCTCTGTATTACGACTTTCACTGACTTGTGTATGTAATAGGTGTGAATACATACTGAAGTTTTTCTTCATTACGCTAGAATGGAATTGAACACATTTCCATTATTAGACAAATCATTGCTTCATGCATTTTCTCTTTCACTACGCGGCTGTAACCTCCACGCAGAATCCCAAAGTGAATGTCCGCCCCCGTATTTCTCCCAGAAAGCTCGCGGGAAGCGTTACCGTGCGGGGCAGGCCGCGCCGTGTGTGGCGGCGCGACGGGTGTGGGGGCGGGGGGCGGGGCCCCGGCTGTCCCGAGCCGCTGCGCCGTCCGGCGCATAAGACGCGCCCGTTGCCGATAGCGCTAATTCCGCGTTTCCCGCCCGCTCGGGGCGCCTCCGGCTAGCTGCGCACAATGGGTCATTTCGCGGGCTCAATGGAACATTTCACGTCAATTTGCCGCGGCGGCCGCGCGGCCCGCCTATCTCTCCCACGATCGGCCCAACCGGTAGCCGGGGCGCGCCGGACCCGTCCCGCCGCCGTCGTCCGCTCCGCGCCGCCTTGCCCGGCCGTCGTGGCCGGCCCGCTCGTCGTTGAATACGAAGCAGCACACCTTGCGCCGCTATCTCAGGCCGCATCTTGCCGTCGGCGCAGCACGTAAAATAGATTCCAGGAGCCGCGCACCGGCTTTTTTATGGCGCGCTATTTTGGGTTTTGCTCTCTTTGCGGCGGAGGCGTTCTCATTGTACACCATGATGCTGCACGATGCGGCGGCGGCGGAGGGCGCGTTGCTCTCTTTGGCGCGTGTGCGCGCCCGCGCGGACTCCCGCCCCCGCCCCCGCCCCCGCCCCCGCCCGCCCCCGGCGTCGGGGACACTTGCCCCGCCGAAATGACTCGTCGCGCCCTGCGCCGTCGTCGTCGCCTTAACAAGAAGCCCATTACTTTATAGCCTGCTCGTCCGGCGTGTCGGAGCAAGTGGTAGTGGTGGTGGAGGGTGGGGGCGGGGACGGAGGTGGAATGGTGAAGGAACGGTTGGCAGCAGTGGTGCCGACGTCGAGCGGGCTTTTCAGCCTTCCCGAGTCAAACGCAGGGATGATTCACGAATGACGCAGAAAAAAAAAATGTTTTCGCGACATGCTCCGTCTACAAGCACTGCGATATGCAATTCGAAAATATATTATGCATGCTTCTTCACGTTTTTTTGGCGTTCTTCATGTGAGAACCTGTAGTTCAACAGAGAAAAAATAGGCCTACTAATTACTTGGGTTATTGTGTAGAAAATAGTTTTATATTATTTGTCATTAATTTACAATTTATTATCATAAAAATCAACAATACGCCCAAATAGTTTTCTTCATGAATTGCATGTTAAATGTTCAGTACAATCGCAACGTCCTTCGCCCCGCGCATTGAGTTCTCTTACGCACTGTGATCGAATCAAAAGATACGAATGTTGCATGACAACATTAATAACCCGTCATAACAAATCAACATAACATCATAAATGAGAAACGATGGTTAGGCATGAAGACTTCCTTTGTGAATGGCTTTCGGAATGAGAACATCGCAATTCGCCTCGTAGGATAGTGTTACTTTGTGAAACAGCTAAAGCATGGAGATAAATGGAAATAAAGTGTGAAATGAGATGATTAAAATGAAATACGTAGACAGTAGTCACCAGCTAGTAGTTAAGCCCGTTATGTAAGGGCTCATAAGACTTTTTGTGTAAATGAAATTTTGATTTGACTCTATTCAAGTCTGTGTTATGTTAATTGCGCATGCATGATTCTCGCCGTTAACTTGGAAATGAGCGAGCGAAGGCAGTCAAACCACCCTTTCAGATTGGCTATTTTGTTGACGTGCTAATGAATCTCATCTATATTAACACGACCAATTTATTGAACCACCGACAGTTATACATCGCTTCTCACATACAGTATTGTCTAACATACACGAGCGCCCATAAAATTTTAGTATAGGAAAGTGCGGGCCAGAGACATTTAAGAAAGCAAAATAATTACTTATAACTCACAATTTTGATATATCACTTTATTTTACAATCGAGAAATCATTGTTATGTTTGGAACTGAAAGTTTATCAAGGTCTACTGTATGTTTAGTAAGGTAAAAATCTTTGGGTTGATTTCAGTGAAACACTTTCAATGTGATTTATCGTTTTTTGATTTAACTTGTTTGAGATCAGAAAAAAACAAACATTCACACACATATGTGTTGCTAAGTAGCGATAACATTTGTAGAGATAATACAATCAGTTCCAGGAATCATTCTTGAGAAATCAGTTTCCAGATGTGTTCATTGACATTACCTTTTGGTTGAATGGGTGTGCCTGAAGATAACAATTTTCTATTTGCAAGTTCCCGGGTACCTTACTTCAATCTCCATCGGGTTGTTGAACAATGCATGTTTTGGTTTTAGGGTTCCAAAACCTGAATTGACTGATGATCCATATTGTTTATTGTTATTTGAACTCAATGCGGTGCTTAAGGCAGCAGTACACTGCGTTATGTAGGGGAAGGAGGGTATTAGTTTCGTGTTACCTAACATATATAATTATTTTTTTTACATTTTTAAAAATTGAAATACTTTTTACGACTCTTTTACTAAAACGTTAAAATATTAACTAATTAATTTGTTTTAAAAATATAATTAAATTAAAGTTATTGGATAGAAATCGTCACAATTAATGGATTTTTAAGCAACTTTTTACTGAAACTGTAAGTTTACGCAGAACATATGCATAATTGATGTGTAGTATATTTTAGAATCCATTTTTTAATTGGCTCAGTAGGCTTTTTGCTCAAGCGTCCACGTTATCAGCGCCAGCGTCTGCACGGGTTGTGTTTAAACATTTTTTTCTCGTATGCGTCTTTCCTTCAGTCACAACATGCCCCAATTTTATTGTTTGGTGCAGTCAACTTTGCCAACTAATTTTTTCTTTATTTATCATTAATTTTAATATACAACACAAGTAAAATAAAAACTAGGTGCTTTTATTGCGATAATTTATGTTCACTTCTCGCAGTTACAAGGGAGGGGTGTTGTCGTAAGCGTTGCGTAACTATTTAGGGGGGAACAAGCGCGATCCGGGTTTTTCTGCGGGGGGGGGAGGGGGTATTCGAAATACTCCAAATCGGTGGACGGCCCCTCAGCCGGCAGCCGTGGTGGCTGCGCCGCGGAGTTGGCGGGGCCGCGCGCGGTGATGCGGAGGAGGGCCGGCGCCCGCGTCGTCCAGCGATCGGCCACTCGCGCGCTCCTAGCGTGGGCTTCTGGCAGCTCCCGTTCCTGGAAGCCTCCTCCACTCCTGCTTGCTATTTGGACGAGGGAAAAGTAATTAAGAAGTCTCTGCTTGAGTGCTTCTCCCTTATTCTCCGACTCCCTGTCTCCCTTTCCCACTTTTCACTCAATCTCTTTACCGCCCGTTCCCCCCAACGTACACCAAACTGTTGAGTTGAACAGAATGTAATTTTTGTGTTTACTTTCCGGCTAGAATGATAGAAAGCGACTGAAGTGAAAATGAAAAATCTAAAGTGTGAAAAATCTGGACTTTTTGCTGTGAAACTTGAAGGGAATCTTGAGCAAGTACAAATAATATAAAAATGGGATAAGTAGGATCTCTGAAAATCATTTCTTTAAATAACTGTTCCCTTCACCAAATTCTTATGTTCTGCTTTGCCTCACACTCATGAACAACTTGAATGTATATTGTAACTAAGTTATTCGAAACACTTTCATCAGTTTTAAGAAATGATCCTTCTA